TGTGAAGATGGTGCAACACGAGGCACTGTTTTGTTCTGTTGCACATATGAGGGGGAACCACCCCCCAAAACACGGAAAAGTTTTTTCAAAGTTACATATTTAAGTTTTTTTTACAAAACAACCTTATCACCTTCAAAGTACCCTCCATTACACTGAATACATTTGTCAAATCTGCAATTCCATTTTTGAAACATTTTTCAAACTCATCTGTTTGGATGGCTGATAGCATCTCCCTTGTTTTTCCTTTACCTTGTCTATGTTGGCAAATCACTGCCCTTTCATGCCCTCTTCATTCACAGAAACAAATAATTGTCACATGGAACAAGGTCAGGCGAGTGAGATGCACAGGGCAAGAGAGGCAGGCTCTTTTTTGCCCAAAATGGTGCACTGAGATGGCTGCGCGAGCAGGTGCAATTGTTATGGTGGCAGAACCAGTCCCCCTTCTGCCACAAGTCAGGCCTTTTTTTGTTGTACACAATCTTTTCAGAACCTCTAAATAGAAAACTTGATTAACAGTCTGACCTTGTGGAACGAACTCCAAATGCACTACAAGTCGACATTTTCCTCCCTTTGGGAAATTGATAGATGTCCACAAGGAGGTTTGTCATCAATTGACAGTTCACCTCTTTTGAAAAAATGAGGAGCTGATACCAAGGGCTCAAGTAGAAAGAAAATGTTTTGAAAATGATGATGGCAACCTATGTACAACAGTGCTTGATACAATGGATGGAAGTATGAATTGTGATAAGAGCTGTATGCACCCCCAACAAAATGATTTAGAAAAAAAAAGTTACAGTCTTGGCAACTCACAGGGACAGTTCAATCCTGTCCTATAAGGTCAGTATGAGTCGGCATTGACTTGCCGGCTGGGAGTTTGGGATTTGGAAGTAGTCCACAAAAGGAAGAGAAATCAAAGAACAAGTAAAAGGTAAACTAGTGGGGAGTTTATTAGTAGTTTAAATTGCTGAATACAAAGTTTATTATCTGAAATGTAAACCCCCTCCTAATTTACAATAAAAATTGTTATACTTAAATTTTCTTTTAATTTAAAAAATGAGAAAACCACTCGTATACTTTTTTCCCCTAGCAGGAAACAAAATTTCATAGTTGCACACTGTTCTCTCACATCTGCCATCACACACACACACACACACACACACACACACACACACAAACACACCGAGGTCACTGCAACCACAGGGAGCCTTCTCAAGTGACAACACCGCCTGTGAACAGAGAGAACCTTCCCAGAAGACACCACTGGGTGCAGAGAGAGTTGCTCCAGGCTCGCCTAGCAGGACAAATGAATCATATGGGAAAG